AAATGAATTTATTGAGGAGCCTGATGACGCTCATTAACATATAGCAGTCCTGAGGGCTAGGCAGAACATTTTAAAGCACAATCCAACTTACTTAAACGGAACACCACTGCCTCCATGTACATTCAATGTGCCAACGCCCACCGGTCGATATTGCTCCTCCACCTGAAATGGAATTTACTCTGGGAATAAGTTATCTCAAAAGATATATGCCTCTGACCCGGATTTGTTGTGCCTATCTCCTTTTACGAATGAAGGCTAAGCCCTGGTCGTTGTGTTGACAACACCTTGGATCAATGTGAAAAACCGAATAGGTTCCACCTGCGTGGTAATCTTACCGATTTGCATGAAAAGAGCTATCTTCTAGCATTATACCCCGGCGACTATCTGCCTTACGTGAACGGTTCATGTGTGAGAGCCGGGCTGTTTTTAGAATTAGTCGAGACTGACGAATTCTAGGACAGACTCGTTCACTTTGTAGACTCACAATTTATTTTCCTTGAGCTAAAAAGCGATAGACTCATTCAGCGGCTCGGTACTTTGACGCTACCTCTCCTTTACTTGTGTGCCGGAGAAGTTTCTTTTAATATTCCGCTTTCTTAACCCACGTATCTGGCCTTGTTCGAGCTTGAAAATTTTCTCCCTAGTTCACAGAATTGTATCGTATTTCAACGACTTGTGTAGGCAACCGTGCCTAAATTCCAGTCGAATATTGGTTGAAGGCACTGAGTTTCGTAAACAATTCCGCTCGTCCATCTACTCCATTTCTTAACAACTTTCATCTACCCGATTCCTCTATGTGCATATTGATAATACTACTCGCATTCTAAGCTTCCTTCTACTGTTTCGTCTGAATAGGTAGCCAAAAGAAAGTGACCGAAGTCTCCGAGCAAAAAGTCCATGGTTGTACAAACTGAAATGAAAAACAATTACTTGATCGACACCCACACTGCAATAATGTCATATTTTGTTGTGAATTGAACTCATCCTCATAGCAGGCGTTTTCATATTTTTCCTCTTTTTGATTTTTTATCATTTAAATTTACGTGGTTCTCTCAGAATGCGATATGTCTATTCGCTCCAAATTTTTGCTTCCACTGTCACTTTTTCGTCTGCGTGCCCCAAGCAAATCACATACCTTGTCAGTGTCGAGAGTACAGAATACGTTAAGCTGTTCTCTTGCCTCATTTAGCTACAGTTTGGCTG